AGCATCAGGCCACAGAGAAAAAAGCCTCATGAAGCTCCTTAAAGTAGAAATAATACAAATAGCACTCTGACCAGAATGCAATGAAACCAGAAATTAATAGCACCATCAAAAAACAAGTAATTTTCCAAAGGTCCTTCTACGTGGAGGTTAAAAAACTGTTTAAAACAAACCTTGAGAGAAAAGGGATGTATAAACTAAAATTGCAGAATTTCTTAAAAAATATGAGAGAGATGATAATAAGAACACCACATATAATAATGCTCACTAAAGCAGTGCCAAAGTGCATTTATTATGACAGGTTTTGCATAAGAAGAGGGGAGATGCGCATGTGCACAGATTCATGTTTTTGCTTCTTTTTGCAAAAAAAAAAAAAAAAAGAAAAGAAAAGAAAGGATAAATCAGAAACCAGTGCAAAAGGTTTATGTAAGAGACAGGAGAAAATAGAATAGAAGAGGTAGGGATATGAGCGTAACCTCTTTGATATAAAAGTTTTGTTTTTGACTACATCTCAAGGCATGTGGGATCTCAGTTCCCTGACCAGGGATTGAATCCATTCCTCATGCAATGGAAGTGCCAAGTTCTAGCCACTGGACCACCAGGGAGTTCCCTGATATAATAGTTTCGATTTTTGAAATATATTTTACAAATTCAGAAAACAAAATTAAACCAAAAAGAATGAAGGAGGCAAACTCTAAAAGTGAATGCAAACATAGGTTTAAAAACACATTTCCTAACTGTTTATCAAATCAGCAATGTGACCACACAAAAAAAAGAACTCAACTAACTTTTGAATATGTACCCTGATCACATATAACCATAGTAGAATATATTCTAAATTCAAAAAGACCACAAAGAAGGCCTAAATATTACTTACTTTCTTTGTGGTTGGTGTTATCGACAATGGCGTTGGTGTAGTAATTCTGAAACTAGTTTGGAGACCACTGAGTTCATAAACACAAGGTGCCCCGTGAACACCTTTATATACAAATGAAATAAAATAATTTTGGACAGTTGTGTCTTCTTGCCCTAACCTTGATGATATTGGCTAGAAAACTCTTTTTAAAAAGTACATAAATGGTTGTATAACAATCTGAATGGGTTGTATTTTTTTAAATTTGTATATTACATTTTATTGTGGTAAAAAATGCAAATCATAAAATTCACCATCTTAACCATTTCTAAAGGTACATTCAATAGTGTTAAATACATTCACACTGTTGTGTGACAAGTCTTTGGAATTTTATCTTGCAAAATTGAAAATGAATTATAAAACCATTTTCCATAGTAGCTACACCATTCTATAATATATTACATATTTCCATAATCCACAAGGGTTCCAATTGCTCCCCACCCTCACTAACAGTCCTTTTCTGTGTTTTTTACAATTGCCATCTGAACATTTGTACAGTGATATTTCATTGTGTTTGACTTGCATTTCCCTAATGATCAATGATGCTGAGCATTTTTCATGTGCTTGCTGGCCATGTATATATCATCTTTGGATAAATGTGTATTCAAGTCCTTTGTCCAGTTTTTAACTTGATTGGTTTGTGCTGCTGAGTTGTAGGAATTCTTTATATATTCTGGTTATTAACTCCTTTTCAGATTTGCAAATATTTTCTCCAACTCAACGTGCTAACTTTTCACTCTGTTGCATCCTTTCATACTCAGAAGTTTAAAATTTTGATGCAATCCAAGTAAATAAATAAGTCAATCTATCATCTTGCTAATTTGCTTTGTCTCATGTATTTTTGGTTCCCTTTTTCTTCTCCCCCTGTCTTCTTTTAAATTATTTATGTCGTCATTTCATCTCTACAACTCACTCATTAGTTTTAGTTTTTATCTCTTTTATTTTCTAGCGGTTGCTCTAGTGTTTATATCTTTAATGATTGTGGTCCACCCTTCAGTAATACCACACCACTCCATGTATGGTGTAAGGCTGGCACAGCTGGTCTGAGCACTGGCACTGGAGTTACGATCTTTGCCCTCAGCGCACCACAGACTTCCAGTTCTTTTGCTGTTGAATTACTGCAGTTATTACGCTGCTTACCGTGGAGGCTGTGGAGCAAACCTGGAAGATTATTCTCTGAGTTTCTGCTCTGCTTTCAGCTTCCAGGAGTCACTGCACATTTGCACCAGAGGGGTCTCTTTCCTCACTTCCTCACTGGGGATGAGCCACTTCCCCAGCGGCAGACTGCTACTGCTCGTTACTGGTGTTAGACTTATTTGGAGGCCAGCTGCTTCCCGGTCTCCGGGTCTTTGGCAGGCGCTGTGTACCTGCTCTCGGAGGGGACAGGCGGGACAGTGGTAAGGCCTCCTGTCTGTCCCACTGCGGCAGCTCAACCCTGCCATATATCTGTGATGCTTCTCGAGCAGAAGGGGTCTTTCTCTCCTTTCCCAGTGGTCAGACCTCCCTGCTGTGTACTAGGTGAGAATCCTCCGAGTGGTACACACCTGCTTTGTACTGGGTAAGAATCCTGGACCCGAGAGATCTGCCTGCCCTCCCCTTAAGGAGAAGATGGTTTATGCTTCTGCCCTTCTCCCCAAAGCAGCATCTTTTTGCCCGGTTCCTGTGAGAGCAAAGGAAGGAAGATTCTCTAAACTCCTCCCGAGGCAGAAGGGGTTTTTGCTTCTAGCCCTCCTCCAGGAGCCCCGGCGATGAGAGGGTTTGCTGCCCCAGCCTCAGTGACTTAAACGCTTTGGTTTATATGACAGGTGTGCCTGGGCAAGCAGCAGGGCTCCGTGCCTAGTCCCCGGCAACAAGCAGGCCTGCTGAGAGATGAGCAAAGGGGAGGGTCTCGGCAGTCTCTGCCCTGTTCGGTTTTTCCTGGGAGCATCTGTGGAGTGCTGTGGAGAAGCGCTTACACGTGAGAACTCCCCGTGGCTTGGGGTCCAGAGTTATTCTAAACTGATACGCTATCCCATACTTGGACTTCAGGAAATTTAAAATTTTGTAGCTATTGCTTCTTATTTGCTTCCATGGCCGCCACCAGTTTCTCTCCTCCTCTGTCAAAGGTGATCAGTCTGTGTGCCTCAGCTCTCCTAGGAGGGGCTTACCCCATTTCGGAATTGAGTTTCCAGGATTTCCTTGTAACTCAGCTCTCAGGTATGGTTGGAAAGTCACTAGTTTTGTGGGCTATCTAGATTTTTCTTGTTAAGAGCAGAGTGGTACAGCTTTTCACAGGCCAAGTGGAAGAAGAACTTAGGCTTATGTTTTGTATGTCTCTGCAAAAATAATTTTATTGCGTTTTATAAAAATATTGCTCTGTGATAGACTGAAAAATAAACAATAAAACGAGCCCGTCACCACAAATAGTGTGAAAAGCACTGTTCCGGTGCATGAAGTAGTTCTGCTTATGACAAGACTGTCCAATCTGTGGGGGCACTATTGAGTTACAAGAACTTAAAATATACTTACGAGGTAGCACAAAAAGTTCATGCTAATTCACACTTAGCAGAGGGTAAGGCAGTAGGAGTGGTTAATAAAACACTTTCTCTTCCACAGATTTTTTTCCTGTGGCCTATCCTAGAGCACTGCTAATTTTCTCCCTCTGTAAAACAGCTTCATAGCACTTGTTCCAATTTTCCCTGATGGTAAGGGTTAATTGGGGCTTCCCAGGTGGCTCAGATGGTAAAGAATCTGCCTGCTATGCAGGAAACCTGGGTTCAAACCCTGGGTCGGGAAGACCCCCTAGAAAAGGGAATGGCAACCCACTCCAGTATTCTTGCCTGGAGAATTCCGTGGACAGAGAAGCCTAGCAGTCTACAGGGATCTTTCAAAATGTGCCAGATTGCCTCTGGAAAAGGCATATCAAAACAAACCACAGATTCCATCAACCAGCAAACATGCTGACTAAAGAGAGGCATAATGAGAAGAGAAAGGAGCCTTGAAGACGCTTAGTAAACTCTATCTCGAATTTCGCATAATTCTTCTACAGCATCTCTTATAGCAACTTCAGTACGGACTTATCCCTTTGCTGCTCCTCCACCTTTCCCAACAAGACAGTGAGCGCCTCGAGGACGGTGTTGTGGTCATCTCTGTGCTTCTCAGTGTCTAGCCCAGCGCCTGGCAAACGGCAGGCTCGGAATGATCATTCATTGAATGAAGCGAATAGATCTGATAACGGTTCTGCCTAGCTTTTTCCTGAATCTTTGTTTTCTGGGCATGTCTTTCTCTTGCCGCCCTTCCCCTTTCCTTCTTTGTGAGTCTATATGAATCGGTTTCACAGAATCCCTACCCACCAGTGTCTGTCTGGCTCCCAAGTACCCGCTACTGTTTGAAAACTGTGCCGCCGGCCCTCTCTGCCTGGTCAGCTGGCTTCACATCTCTAATAGGGCTGAGATGGTTTTGGCTCTGTTCTTTGCTTGGATGACCTGGCAGCCTGCTTGATGGTCAGCCTTTGTAGCCAGATGTGTTTCTTACAACCACCTCAGGGCCTGGGCAAATGGATTCCTATCTGAACCGGCCTATTTTCCTCCTCATTGGTCACGTGCAGTCAGGGGCTTACATACCTCAACCTCTGAGCCTCCCTGAGTCATAGTAGGTATTTCATCTTATGCTAATATACATTATTAGTTTTCCATACGCTGTGATAAATCTTCCATTTGGATATATAAGGAGAATGCCATCAAAAGCAGAAATTACAGTTTCTTCTCCCCTTTTTGAACCTTTCAAAATTCCTAACATAGCACTGTGCCCAGAGCAGACAGAGACACAATTATTGAAAGAGAGAATGAGTTGAATGCTGCATTGAAAGTACTTCATAGGTTCCCTCCAAGAATTAAGTCAATTTACATTTATAGTGGTCCCTTTTTTTTGTCAACAGCTCGTCTTTACTTCTTCACATATCTCCATGGGAAAATGAACGTGGCTGTTAACTGATAAATCTCTTAGAGGACCAAACATATACCTTGCAGTTCAATATGGTTCACATTTACCCATAATCATATACGAACTAATCTCACTATTCCCATAAATTCTAGAGAAAAGAAACACTTACCCAGCCTTAGCAACACTAATGGTTTGCTGCTCCATTGCTTCGTGGATACTAGTTCTGTCATGCTCTTTAAGGCTATTAAATTCATCGATACAGCAGAGGCCGGCATCTGCAAGGACTAATGCTCCCGCCTCCAAATTCCACTCTCCTGAGTCTTTCACAGCAGTTACTGTCAGACCTAAGGAAATGAGCAAGCGATGTTAGCTTTTATTTGGAAAGCATGTCTTATAACTATGAAGCTTATATCCTATAAACTTTTTCAGGAGTATTACATTTCTTATGGTGATGTGTGATCAGTGATCTTTGCTGTTACTATTGTGACTGCAGATGTGGTGGAAATAGTAAGAAAACTACAATTAGAAGCAGAGCCTGGAGATGTGCCTGAATTGCTACAATCTCATGATAAAACTTTATGAAGAGTTGCTTCTTATGATGGGCAAAGAGAGTGGTTTCTTGGGATGGAATCTACTGCTGAAGATGCTATGAAGATTACTGAAAGAACAACAAAGGATTTAGAACATTACTTAGACTTAGTTGATAAAACAGCAGCAGGATTTGAGAGGACTGACTCCAATTTGAACAAAGCTCTACTGTGGGCAGATATTATTGCCTGCTACAGAAAAATCACTGGTGAAAGGAAGAGCCAACTGGTGCGGCAAACTTCATTACCATCTTATTTAAGACATTGGCACAGCCACAGCCTTCAGCAACCATCCCTCTGATCAGCCAGCAGCCATCAACATCAAGACAAGAACCTCCACCAGCAAAAAGATCATGACTCACTCAAGATTATGACTTACTCAGATGACGATCTGCATGTTTTAGCAATAAAGTAATTTTTAGTTAAGTATGTACGTTTTTTCACATGTAATGCTACAGTATACCTAATAGACTACATTATAGTATAAATATAACTTTTATATGAATTGGGAACCCAAAAAATTTCCTGTAGACTTGCTTCACTGCAGTGGTCTAGAACTTGCCGTATCTCTGAGGTCTCAGTTTACTTATCTACAAAAAAAAGGATAATGATAGAAAATATTCTTAATGATTCTTGGATATTCAAATAGAATATAAATAAAGCTTTTTAAGAAGTGTAAGATACACAGTGAGTGAGTAATTATAATAATTATTGTTGATAAAAATTGATAAACCTCTGGCTAGACCGATGGAGGGAAAAGAAGAAAAGCTATAAATAGAAGACACAGTTATAAATATCAGGAATGAAAGAGGGGACATCACTACAGACGCTAAGAACATTAATAATAAGAAAATACAGTGAACAACTCTATGTTCTAACTTAGATGAAATAGTCACATTCTTTGAAATACACAAAATGACAAAGTTTATCTAAAAAGGAATAGATATCTTGCAAAATCCTGTATCTACTTTGAAAACTGACTCTGTAGTTAAAAATGGTGCAACATACAGGCTGAGATGACTTCAGGGTGAATCGTAGCAGACATTTATGAAAGAAATAATACCGATTCTACACAAAACTTTCGAAAATAGAGAGAAACAAGGAACACTTCCTAACTCATTTAATGCAGCCGGCATTATCATGATTACTAAAAACAGATAAAGATGCACTAAAACTACACATCAGTATCCCTCATTAACACAGATGCAAAAAACCCTTAAAAAATAAAAGCAAATAAAAGGATATATAAAATGGTAACAAATCATAACTAAGTGAAGTGTATCTTGAGAATGCAAGGCTAACGCAACATTCAACTATTAATCATTGCAATTTATTGACAAACTAAGGAAGAAAAAGCAAACAACCTCAATGATACAGAAAAAAAACATTTGATAAAACTCAACAATTGTTTGTAATTTTTTTAAAAAGTGCTCAGAAACAAAGGAACAGAGGTAATTTCTTCAGACTGATAAAGAGTATTTATAAAAAATAAAGAGTATTTATAAAAAAATCCTACAGCTAACATACTGAATGTTTACCCCAGCCCAACCCTTGCCCCCAAGATCAGAACATGGCATGGAGATTTGCTCTCATCACTTATTTAAAATCATACTGGTGGTTCTTGCCAGCGAATTAAAGCAAATGTCCCCTCCCTCCTGAACCTTCCTCCTATCCCAAATATGGTTTTCTCAGGGTGTATGCCCAGTAGTGGGTTGTTCGATCTTATGGTAGTTTTAGTCCTAGTTTTTAAAGAAATCTCCATACTGTTCTTCACGGTGGCTATATCAATTTACGTTCCCACCAACAGTGCAAGACGGTTCCCTTTCCTCCACATCCTCGCCAGCATTTATTGTTTGTAGATTTTTTGATGATGGCCATTCTGACTGGTGTGAGGTGATACCTCATTGTAGTTTTGATTTATATTTCTCTAATAAGTGATGTTGTGCATTTTTTCAACAGTTTGTTGGTCATCTGTATGTCTTCTTTGGAGAAATGCCTGTTTAAGTCTTCTGTCCAGTGTTTGACTGGGTTGTTTGTTTTTCTGATATTGAGCTGTATGAGCTGCTTATACATTTTGGAGATGAAGCCTTTGTTAGTTGCTTCATTTGCAATTAATTTCTCCCATTCCAAGAGCTGTCTTTTCATCTTGTTTATGATTTCCTTTGCTGTGCAAAAGCTTTTAATTTTAATTAGGTCCCATTTATTTTTGTTTCCATTACTCTAGGAGGTGGGTCATAAATCTTGCTGTGATTTATGTCAGTGTTCTGTCTATGCTTTCCTCTAAAAGGAGTTTTGTAATTTCTGGTCTTATACTTAGGTCTTTAATCCATTTTGAGCTTATCCTTATGTATGGTGTTAGCAAGTGTTTTTAATTTCATTCTTTTACTTGGAGCTGTCCAGTTTTTCCAGCACTACTTATTGAAGAGGGTGTCTTTCTCCATTGTGTATCATTGCCTCCTTTGTCAAAGATAAGGTGCCCACAGGTGTGTGGCTTTATCTCTGGGCTTTCTGTCTTGTTCCATTGGTCTATATTTCTATTTCTGTGCCAGCAGTATCACTGTCTTAATGACTGTGGTTTTGTGGTGCAGTCTGAGGTCAGGAAGCTTGATTGCTCCAGCTCCATTCTTCTTTCTCAAGTTGCTTTGGCAATTTGGGGTCTTTTGTGTTTCCACAGAAATTTTTTGTTCTAGTTCTGTGGAAAATGTCATTGATAATTTCATAGGGGTTGCACTGAATCTATAAATGGCTTTGGGTAGTAGTGTGATTCCAATATGGAATCATTTTCACAACACTGGTTCTTCTGATCTAAGAACATGGTATAATCTATGTTTATATTGTTTTTGGTTTCTTTCATCAGCATCTTATAGTTTTCTTACAGTGTCTTACAGTTTTTTGTATATATCTCTCATTTCTTTTTTGTATATAGTTCTCTTTTGTCTCCTTAGGTTTATTTCTAGGTATTTTACTCTTTTTGTTGCAATGGTGAATGTGATTGATTCTTTAATTTCTCTTTGTGATTTTTCATTATTAATGCATACGAATGCAAGGGATTTCGGTATATTGATTTTGTATTTTGTGACTTTATTAAATTCACTGATTAGCTCTAGTAACTTTCTGATAGAATCTTTAGGGCTTTTTTCTGTAGTATCAAGTAATTTACAAACAGTGAGAGTTTTACTTCTTTTCCAACATGGGTTCCTTTCATTTCCTTTTCTTCCCTAATTGCTGTGGCTAGAACTTCCAAAACTATGTTGAACAATAGTGCCAAGAGTGGGCACTCCTGTCTTATTTCTGATCTTATGGGAAATGCTTTCAATTTTTCACCATTGAGAATAATGTTTGCTGTGGGTTTATCATATATAGGCTTTATTATGTTGAGGTAGGTTCCTTCTGTGCCAATTTTCTGGAGAGTTTGTATCATAAATGGGTCTTGAATTTTGTCTAAAGTTTTTTCTACATCTATTGAGACTATCATGATCTTTATTTTTTGTTAATATGGTGTATCACATTGATTTTCCATATACTGAAGAATCTTTGCATTCCTTAGGTAAACCTGACTTGATCATGGTATATGATCCTTTTAACGTGTTGTTGGATTCCGTTTGTTAGAATTTTGTTGAGGATTTTTGTGTCTATATTCATCAGTAACACTGACCCATAATTTTCTTTTTATGTGATGTCTTTGCCTGGCTTTGGAATCAGGGTGATGATGGCCTTGTAGAATGAAAATCTCAATACTTTTAAGATGTTTCTCCAAACTGCTCTATAGATTCAATGTAAGTCCAAACAAAATTCCAGTGGGGTTTTTCTCGTTATAGAAATTGAAAAGGTGATTCTAAAATTTATATAGAGAAGAAAATAGAAGACTCAAACAAGAAACTAAGTAGGAAGTCTCACATGACTCAATTTCCAGATTTATTACAAAGCTGCAGTAATCAGTTCTGTGTGGTACTGGACAAAAGATATACACAGAACAGTTGACCAGAACAGAGTCCAAAGGCAGCCCCACAATGGATGGTCAACTGATTTCTGATAAAAATGGAAAGGCAATTTGATGGAGGAAGGATAATCTGATATCCTTGTGTTACAGAAAAACACTAAATGAAACTCCCCGGTGGCTCAGATGGTAAAGAACCTGCCTGCAATGCAGGAGACGGGTGTTTGATTCCTAGGTTGGGAAGATCCCCTGGAGGAGGAAATGGCAACCCACTCCAGTATTCTTGCCTGAAGAATCCCATGGACAGAGGAGCCTGGTGGGCTACAGTCCACGGGACTGCAAAGAGTTGGACACGACTAAGCTACTAACACTTTGTGCTACAGAAAAACAGGAAAACACTAAATGAACCTATACTCAAGCATACAATTTAAACTTTAGAAAATCAAAAGTAAAGAAAAAAAAATCTTGAAAAAAAGCCATAGGGGAAATAAGCCACCTTACCTATGGTGCTGTAACAACTGGATATCCTTATGCAAAAAGAAAAAAAAAGAAATCAGTATTTCTCAATACTTCATATTTAATAGAAAAATTAATTCATAATGAATGAAAGACCTAAATAAAAAATATAAAACTTATGGAAGAAAACATAGGGAAAAAAGCTATGTGAGCTCCTCCAATTTCTGGCCCAGCACTTAAGGGGCTTAGAAATTGCTAATCTACTCTAATAAGTGAAAACCTAAGCAAACTGAAAAATCAACAACTGTTCTATGATCCATCAAAGGAATGAGGTCAAGGGGCAAACTGCTGCTCCTGAAATTGG